TTGTACACATGCTTATTTTTAAGTTGCCAAAGCATTCCTTTTATAAGTGGAATAACATAGGTGACATTTTGTTGGTTGCCTGTGCTGGAAGTCATCCACAGGTTACATTACCCGTAATCACAATGTCTTGACCCGTAATCCCCCAAGCCGTAATGCACAGCACCCGTAAAATTTCACGGGCTTAATTGCGACGAAGACGTTTTATGCGTGTGTGTGTGTTACATGGTTGGGGGTGCGTGACCCCATACCTGTAAGACTACCCATACGAGCCGAGGCCCAAGGGTAATACTACAACACCTAAAAGCCACGGAGGAAAGGAAAACACCGCACATCAGCCCAGACTAGCGTCTAAAAGGGGTAATTGAGTTTTGGTGAGCCCGCATATGTTCCAATATCCTCGCCGCATGTGCGGGTTCCCATTGCATGGCCTCCAACATGCTCTGTTGATGACCGAATCCCTCTTCAGCACGAATATCATTACAGGCTGGGCATTCTATTAACAGGCGTTCACATCCTCAATTCGGCTATTAGTACCACAACAGTGGCAAAACCGCTGCCCCCTGGGGACGTGGTACTTGCCCCTTCATGCTCTGTTTGCCTCGAAAGCCCAACAACATAAACGAAACTGCATTACCTTACGATGTGCTAAACGAGGAATGAAAACCTTAGCATGTGTTGGCCACATGACGGCTGCGGCTCCCGAAAAGGGCAGCCCCATCCAGTGCTTATACTTCGCCATTTGCACTCCCGGTTGCTTCCCATCTGGTGGGTAGTCTACTCAACAACCAGTCAACACGCTCCTTTACCCCCACGACTTCTTGCGGTATTCCACTCCAAATGTTGCACTCCAAGAAGGAAAACAATTGTAACAATGATCAATGAATCTCATGAGATTCCCCAACCCTCCCATTCTGGGCATCAGTTATGTCCTGCCGTTAAACGGCATGAGCAATGGATCCCACTTGCTTTTGAAGGCGGTTCCATAAACGGAGGATCTGCTTCAGCATGTAATATTTTAAGGGGAGTTCAGCCAGCTCCGCGTACAACAGCCTGTGGGATGGCCGTGCCGTCCCCACTACCTGCCTCATGAATAAAATCTGCAGCTAGCTGCAGCGCTGGACTGCGCTATCCTTCAAACAGGCTTCAAACATGCCCTCCGCAAGGTTGGCTTTATCCCGCCGTCTTCCCACCCTGTCCACGACCTCTGCCAGCGCAAAAGGGCCCCACGCCTGGCAGCCATACAACAGAATTGCTCGGACTTGGGTTGCAAAACACCGCATTCGTACGGTGTCTCAATGGGCGGGCACCCCCTTCAGCACCAGCCCCACCCGTCCTGGCGGCAGCGACCCTGGCGGCGGCTCAACACAGCCTGCCACACCGCCAACTCAAGTGGATGCCCCGCCCCCAGTGAATCCAGCACCCCCCCTCCACCCCAGCACACGCAGTCAACGGCAACCACTACACCCGCCGCTGGTGGGCCGGGCGGCTCGCACGGCAATCGAGAAGAGAGAATGAAATAACCTAATGCAGTCATCACCAACAGAAAACGTAAGCCTCCAGCCTCACGCCGACTGCCTACTACCTACCATTCATATTTCCTACCTCGTTAACAGGTCTCCTCCGCATTGCCTCTAGTTCGGCTCGTCCCTCAGGTAACTTCGCGTGTCGCTACTTTGCCATTCTCCTTCGCCTCCACCCCGCCTCTGCTTCTCCACAGAAGCGGCATTCTCCTTCGCCGCTGTTACGCCTCGTCTATGCGACTCCTCCTCACCCGACTGGGTCCTCTGCCTACCCGGTGCGCGCCCCCAGGGCCCATCTCTCTGCGCATCCGTTCCTCCGGCCCTCTCTTACGGCTGCCTACCTGACTGCATGACTCACCCCTTGCCTGTCCGGCGCCGGGTAGGCTTTCCTTGCCTCCCCCGGCCCTACTTGGGGCGCCTCTCCTTGGCTCGTCATCTTCCTTACTTCCGTCCATTCCTGTCCCTCGGGGGCCCAACCCCTCCACCCCTTCTGTGGGCCCGATCCCCGCTCTTGACTTGTATCAAGCTCCCGGCCTCTCTGATGCTGCCCCCCCGGTAGGCTTGCCCCCGCGCCTGGGTCCTGTCTCCTCTTTACGTCACGCCTACCTCACCTACCTTCTGCCATCCAGGCACTGCCGGAGCCTACTCTGCCCCAGCTCTTGGCCGCGCGCGTCCGCCCCACTTCCGTACCCTCTGCCGTACTGGACCCACCTTCCAGCCGTCAGCTTTATACCGTCTCCCTCGCGAAGGCCGCCACCGTCTGCGACAACTCGTTGGCTCGTGAAACCATTGCCCGTCAGGAGGCTGCCGGTCG